AATTCAGCCTCAACAAGAGCTACCTCAGGACTCCAAACTGCGTTGAAGATTAAAGAAACTGGTTCCTGTTAACAATAAAAAAATGCATCCAGAAGTTTGGGTCAGTAGGTCCTGAAGGACCCTGACCGGCTTCTCTCTTATAACAAGGTTAGAAGTAGGAAGACTTGATGATTCAATACTCCCAGTTAAAAGAACTTCGTTTTCCTTTCAACACAAATCGTTTTTCTGCTTTTCTCCACTACAAAAGACTCTGCATTCGGCAACAAGTGACCTTTGAGCAGTAAAAATAAATTTAAAATTGGGAAAGGCATTATGCACTGTAGCACCCCGACATTTAAATACTGCAAGGGATAAGGAACTTTAAATTTGATTTTTTTTTTTTTTGGTTAACATTCAACTTAGCCGGTATTGTTTCTTGGCAAGATTTTTTGTGGATTCTTATGGCATTTTAATATGGATCCTGTCATTCATCCCTGCTTAAAAATCAGTTCATGTTAAGTATTTAATTGTGTCTGGGATTTTTTTTTCTTATAGTATGCAAACTTTTTAAAATTTGCTTCTGAGAGTTGGGCCATTCCTGCCTGATCCACCTGTCTTGAGAGTACAAATAGTCCTTGACTTACGACCTCAGTTGAGCCCAAAATTTATGTTGCTAAGCGAGACATTTGTTAAAGGGAGTTTTGCCCCCTTTTACGACCTTGCCACATTGCCATGATTATTAAGTGAACCGTAGCAGTTGTTAAGTGAGGAATACGGTTCTTAAGTGAATCTGGCTTCCCTGTTGACTTTGCTTGTCAGAAAGTCACAAATGTTGATCACATAACCCCAGGATACTGTGCAACCATCATAAATAGTTACCAAACTGGCTGAATTGGAATCACATGACCAGGGGGATGCTTGCAACGGTCATAAGTCCCTTTTTTCCATGCCATCGTAACTTCGAACTGTCACTAAATGAACAGTTGCAAGTCAAGGACTACCTGTTATAGCCTCCAAGTCTAAATAAAACAGTGCCATTGGTTGTATAGGCTGACTAGCTAGAAAAAACATTTATGATTTGCTTTGATTTTGGTCACCATATTACAAAAATGATAAGACTTGGGAAAAAAAGCAGAGAAGAGGAACTAAGATTTATTTATTTATTTATTTTGTCGCATTTCTATGCTGCCAAAGGGACTCCCAAGGCATGATCAAAGGCCTGGAGACTAAAACATGAAGAACGGCTGCAGGATTTGAGTTTGGCTAGGCTAAAAAAAAAAGAAGGATTAGGGGTGACATAGCAGTATTCCAACATTTGGGGGGCTGCCACAAAGAGGAGGGGGTCAACTTATTTTCCAAAGCACCTGAAGGCAGGACAAAAAACAATGGATGGAAAGTAATCAAGGAGAGAAGCAACCTGGAATTAAGGAGAAACTTCCTAACAGTGAGGACAATTAACTAGTGGAACAGCTTGCCACCAGAAGTTGTGGGTGCTCCAACACTGGAGGTTTTTAAGAAGAGTCTAGACGTCTGAAATAGTCTAGGTTCTCATGCTTGAGCAGGGGGCTGGAGTAGAAGACCTCCAATGTCCCTTCCAGCTCATTCATTCTACTCTGAATTTCAACAACCCCATGAGTTGATTATTAACCAGTCCATTTTAGCGCTGCTTGTTGCATTAGTCCCGTTCCTTCCAAACGGCAACGGGAGCTCAAAGCTACAAAACCGCCTGTTGATCCGTGAAGATGCTTTAAGATTTGGTCCATGAATTCCTGGGCATCTCAGTGGACAGAAGGGGAATCCTGGAGAAGAATAAGGCACAAAGCTGCAGGTGAGAAGTAGGGAAAAAAAACTTGGACCTATTGGGCCAGTTTTGAGTATTGAGCAATGTCAGAGTTTGAGATGAAGGGAGGCGTTTCCTTTCGTCCCTTTACAGTGCTATAAAACTATGAAGTCCGTGGCTAACCATGGCATGGACTGATCGTCCTTTCTTTCCTTTTTTTCTTTTTTCTGGTCTTGCCTGGAAAAGGGGTTATGTTGGGAATTTTTTAGATAATAATTCATCGTGTTGAGAACGGGCATATGTATCTCTCTTTGGACGGGACGCGGTGGCTCAGCGGCTAAGACACTGAGCTTGTCGATCAGAAAGGTCGGCAGTTCAGCGGTTCAAATCCCTAGTGCAGCCGCCTAACGGGGTGAGCTCCCGTGACTTGTCCCGGCTTCTGCCAACCTAGCAGTTCGAAAGCAGGTAAAAAAATGCAAGTAGAAAAATAGGGCCCACCTTTGGTGGGAAGGGAACAGTGTTCCATGTGCCTTTGGCGTTGAGTCATGCCGGCCACATGACCACGGAGACGTCTTTGGACGTCTCTTTGGCTTTGAAACAGATGAGCACTGCCCCCTAGAGGCAGGAACGACTAGCACATCCGTGCGAGGAGAACCTTTACCTTTTGACTAAGTATCTGCCACAAGCTTTTTTTCTGGACTCCTCCACTGAACTCCATGAACCCTCCTCGACCACAATGCCGCCCAAAATTCCTGTCGCAAAGTGGGACGGTTGTGAAGTGAGTTTTTTACCCCCATTTTACAATCTTCCTTGCCGCCGTTAAGTGAATCACAGCAGTGGTTCAATTAGTAACACAGTTGTTAAGTGAATCCGTTTCCCTTCTCTCCCCCCTCCCCCCCCACGTGTTGACAGGAGATTGCAAAAGGGGGAATCACACAAGACTTGGATACTGCAACTGTCATAAGTATGAGTCATTCGCCAAGCATCTACACTTTTATTTGACCACGTGGATGCTACGACAGTGTTTAAAAAAAGCACTTTCCAGGGCCGTTCTAACCTGGAGCGGTCGTAACTCGAGGACCCCCTAAATAGAGGCTGGGGCTGCCTTTACAAGTTTGCTAACTTTTAAAAGTTTGGTTTAAAGGTATTTTCGAAACCTGGTTTATTAAAACGGAACCCATTCGCTCGCTTCACGACACCCTGCCCGGGCCGACAACCGCGAGTCGCACCACGATAAGGGAGATTTGAATCCGGATCGTTCCCAAACCGAATTCAGACTCCCAAAAGTGCCGGAAAAGATGCGTCACCGAACCTTCAGTCCTTCTGAACCCAACTTGAGCGCGCTGCGTGCCGGAAGGCTTTCCCCGGCCCTTCTTCGCCCACGTGGGAACCAAGTCTCCCCTTTTCCCACGGGTCCCAATTGCGAGCGGAGACCCAGAGCCGCCGGGGGCAGCGTTGCGCCTCCCAAGTTTGGATCGCGATCCGGCGGTCCCGGGTTTTGCGAACCACTACCAACCTCGCACCCGCCGGGGAGGGAAGGCGAGCGGCAGAATTGCGAGAAGCGTCCGGGTGGGGAGGTGGGATCGGAAAAACGGAGACGTCCCGGCCGCTCGGGAGGATCTGTGCGCCCGATGATCGGAGCGGAGACCGGAATGTCAAGCTCCCGCGCTGCAGCCCGCCGTTTGTCCCGCCCGCGAGAATTCCGGAGGTCCCGCTTCGTCTTTCCGCGTACGAGGATCGGTGGGCGCCGCTTCCACAACCGACTCTTATAAAGCCGTGGACGGGCGATCTTGCATTTCACGACCGAAAAAAAATAAACTCGGATTTTTACAGCCATTTCGAGCTAAAACAGCCCTCCTCCTCTTTCGTCATCCTCCCCAATTTGCAGATTACACCCATTCTTTGGCAAAGTTTCAGATAAACGGGACTATCCTTTAAAGCAGGGATCCAACCGTTGGCAACTTTACGACTTTGCGGATTTCAACTCCCAGAAATCCTCAGCCAGCATAAAATCCGTCCACGAGTCGTAAAGTTGCCAACGATTAGAGAGCCCTGATTTAAAAAAAAAAAGGATGTTTCTCCAAAAAGCCCCGAGGCTCTCAGTGTCTTATTCTTGGTTTCCCGTTTATTTCCCACCCCCGATCTAGGCTGAAACCCTTGGAAACTCTGCAAAGAGTCTTCCCTAATCAGGAGTTGGACACCATAAAAGAGGCAGCCTGGAGAGGAATCTGCTAGCTAGGATGATCCTGGGTTATGCCGATTTAGATGTATATCCCACCTTTCCAAAGTCACCCCAAAAGCTTCTGTGTCACCCAAGGAGTCTTAAAGGCATCCACATGGCACATTTGATGAAAAGCTGGCTGGGGAATTCTGGGAGTTGAAGTCCACACGCCTACAAGCTGCCAAAGGTTGAGACACACCTGGGTTTAAACTGACCTAGGGCAGGGGTAGACAAATGTAGCTCTTTTACAACCTCTGGACTTCAACTCCCAGAATTCCTGAGACAGCCTTTCATCTGAACAGCCAAGATGGCTCAGGAATTCTGGGAGTTGAAGTCCAGAGGTTGTAAAAGAGCCACATTTGCCCACCTCTGACCTAGGGGTTTGAAAGGGGGACGGTTACGCAGTAGCCATTTACCGTGGGGCAGACGACAAACTTCTCAGCCACAAATAACCACAACTTTTAGAGTTGTTATTTTAAAGTAACAAAATTTAACGTGGGGCATTTTAACGCCAGAGATTGCCAATCCCATCAAAAGATGCAGCCGTCTTCGAATTGGGTTTTTGAGATATTACAATGGCCGATGCAGTAGAGAGAAATTCTCCCACGTGTGACTTGCATTTCCCCATCCACGCCCTGCTTTCCGGGGTCTCCTATTCGAATTCTATATCGCTTGAAAAACCCTCCATGTGCATCCGACGAAATTAGCTGCATCTATTAAAAAAAAAAAGTTCGTGCCGTTAAATAACAGTCCGGTGGTTGGAAAAGCTACCAATTCCAGGAAGCTCCCGTGACTTTAAGGAGCGTTAGAATCGGAGTCCTATCCCACATTGACGGCCAGCATTCAAATATTGAATTATAACTTCGATTGTTTTTTTAAAAAAACAATAAAAGACCCAAGAATTTCTCTTAAAAGACGGGAACAAACGTCTCCCGGAACCTTTGCGCGGCCGGTTAAAGATGCCGGAGGGAAGTTGAAAGCCGTGAGCCTTTTTTTCTTCTTCCCTTTCTCCTTACGTAGAAAAGGCCTACCAGGAGGCATTCGGCGCCTGCGCCGATGACGGAAGAAGGCGTGGCTAGCGCCGGAAGTTGCAGAGGGAACAACATGGCGCTGAGCTCGGCAGGTAACGCGGGGAGGGGAGGGGAGGGGGGGGAAAGGCGTCGTCATGGCAATGGATCTCCGGCCCAGCGACCAGCCCGAAGCCCTGCCAGAGGCGATGGACAACGGGGAAGAGCAGGGGGGCGACTCGGGCTCCAGGTCCGGGTCTCGCCCCCATCGCGGCTTCCTCCTTCCCGGCCCAGGTCACGACGAGGCCGAGTGGGAGCCGCCTTCCGAGGCCGAGCTGAAGGTGATCCAGGCCCGGCGCGAGCGGCAGGATAAGATCAGCAAGCTCATGAGCGAATACCTGCTGAAGGGCTACCGGATGCTGGGCGAGTGTTGCGACGAGTGCGGGGTGAGCGGGGCCGCCCCGGGGCGTGTGCAGAGTGCCCCGGTTGGGAGCTTTCTTCTCTTCCCTCTCAAAACCGCCCCCACCTCCACGGCCTGACGGTCATATGGAGAAAGTTTGGGGGGGGGGAAGGAAGCTTCTGCCCGAGGAAAGGAGGCCACTCGGTGATCAGACAAGACCAGAAGCGAGAACAATCAGGCTGAAGGAGATGCCCGGTTCCTTGATGCCAGGCTAAGCTGTGCCTGGTTTTTCTACTGAGTGGACTGCTTCTTTGAACTCTTTGATTGGGAATTGGTTGGGGGGGGGTGTCATTTGTGTTGGGCAGGCCCAGTATGAAAAAGTAGTTTCCTTCAGCAAGGGGTCATTGGGTGGGCTTTCCTTCTTCTCCCATCAGTGCACACCCATCACATGACTTTGCCAAACAAACCCTGACTTCTATCCTTTTCTTCTCCCGTCCCCTTTGCCTTGGTCACCGAATTGTCTTCCAGACTATTTTGCTGCAAGATAAGCAGAAGAAGTTGTACTGTGTCACCTGCCAGGAGCTTAATTCCGATGTGGACAAGGACAATCCAGGTACGGTGGGCAGAGGAAGCCAGGAGCTGTTTCTCTTATTCACCTGCCCCGCTTGGTGGAGTCTGGTCCTCTCAGAGTATATTGCCCTGTGTCATGAAAAGAGATGGTGGGAGCTCTTCTGTGCTTCTGCAGCACCAAATGGGAACGGCCTGGGTGAGCATCACGACATAAACGGAACCTCCCAACTCAATCCATTGCATACATACTGTATTTTTTGGAGTATAAGACGCACCTTTCCCCCCCAAAAAAGAGGGTGAAAATCTGGGTGCATCTTATACTCCGAATGTAGCCCTGCCCAAACCCCAAACTGAGGTTTCAGAGGCTGAAAAAAGCATCAGAAAAGAAGCCCCCAAACAGAGCTTCAGAGGCTTTTTTTCCTGAAGCTCTGTTTCGGAGGCTTTCAGAAGCAGGAAAAAAAGTTTTTTCTGAGTTTCAGAAGTTTCAGAGGCAGAAAAAAAAAGCAAAGCACAGAGCTCACAACCAAGGAACCTGTTGCTAAAATTCACCTCTGGGAACAGCTGATTGGGGATAGTCCGGCAGGCCGATCCACCTGCCAATCAGCTTTTTTCTTATTTTCCTCCCCAAAAACTAAGGTGCATTTTATACTCTGAAAAATACGGTAAATTATAAATTGTGAAATGCAATTCATATGCAAAAGGAGAGCTATCGGGTGGACGTTTTGTGCAGTTGCTGCTTCAGATAAAAACAGCACATTTTGTGCTGCTCTGACAACTGAAGTGGTCTTGCATTTGTGCTGCCCTCTTTGCAAGGGGGAAAGAGACCCCCTTTTCTGCTCTCAAGTGTTAAAATTGCTCCTGGAGAATCTGGACAGGATTTTTCCAGGCCATACGAAAATATCCCTGGACTTCGGCAACTGTCCTAGACAGCGCTTGTTGTTGTTGAACCCGAAAGCAGGAGCCCGTGATCCCACCTCTTTGATCTTCTGTCTCTCCCTCTAGCGCTCAATGCACAAGCAGCCCTTTCCCAGGTACGGGAGCGTCAGCTTGCCACCAACACTGATGAAATGGTGTCACGCCCGGAGCATTGCGAAGGGGCAGCTTTGGGTCTCCGCTCAAGTGCCCCTGACCCAGCCCTCCCAGCGTCCACCGCTGCACCTAATGCTCTGTTGGCACGCAACACCCTGGCTGCGGCAGAAGAGACCATTCTACAGAAGATCGGCTGGGCAAGCCAACATCTCCAGGAAACTACCTCTGTTGAAAGGAGCATCCAGCTTTGTTCACTCATCCGGTCCTGCACGGATGCTCTCAAGGGCATCAGGGAGCTGCCACAGTGAGGATGCCCCAGCTTGTCATGGCAGTGCCAGGCCTGGAATGGAATGTAGGCCATGCCTGGGGTGCCAAAGGATTCCCCCCCCCCCCACCATTCATCGTAGGAGCTGGGTGATTTAAATAAGACTGGTCTTTCCCTTCTGATTAAAATGTGAGCTTTTCTTTTTTTTTTGCCTCATTACAAGTTGTCCTGACCTTTGAAGAATGTTTCAGAGAATTTGCACGCATAGATCTATCTAATCCGGGACAAGGAAAGGATAGATAAAAGAGTTAACCTGGCTTGTAAAACAGTTAACCTGGTTTGGGGAAAGATTATATTGCGGCTAGCAACCATTTTAGGCACCAAATTCGGGGGCTTAAGTCCATTCACCATTCCGCTTGCCATCCAAAGATTTCAGGTTATCAGGAGCTCCCATGTGTTGTGGTTTGTTTTTTTGTGAAGCATTAAAACAGTTCAAATTTCAAGGCATAAGATAATGGTTGTGTTGTGGTCGAATCTTCGCTGGTTGTGAAGGAATCGGGTTTGTCATGTGCTTTGGCCCCTGTGGTGTGTCAGAGGCCACCAGTCTTAAAACTTTTATACTTTTAATAACTAATACTTGAAAAAAGAAGCTATAAGCTAAGAAATGGCAGCTTTCTCCTCTTAGGCATCTTAGACAGTGTAGTAAATAAAATTAAATCAACTCACGAGTTCATCTGAATATCCACCTTTGATGACAACTGACACTTAAGAGGAAGAATGGGAAGGGTGACAATTGAAATTGGCCAGATATGTTTGAATACAGGTAAAGTCCTTGAAGTAAGAACTGCAATTGAGCCTGCAATTTTGGTCCTAAATCTTGACAGTCGTAAAGCAGGTCACCATGTGGCTGCACCCAATTTTACGATTTTTTTTTTATTATTATTATGGGGGATTTTTTTCCCCCAGAAACCAGAAGCGAATTTTCCAGGAGGAAAACACTGAAAATTGTGGCCATGAGATACTACAAACGGTCATAAATGTGAGCTACCAAGTGCAGTCACGTGGCCATTGGAGGCTGTTTAAATCCACATTGTAAGTCTCTCTCCTCATTGTAACTTCGAGCTAAATGATTGGTCATAAGTCAAGTTCTACCTGTACGAGTATTCCTACATGCGAGAATCTGTAAATTCCCTTCTGCCTGGGTTTACATAACTCTTTAACAAGCTCCAGAAGGACCAGCCTTGTTCAAAGACAACCATTTGTACGATTAGATTTGATTAGCAGAGTTGGAAGGGACCTTGTAGGTCATCTAGTTCAACCCTCCGCCTAAGCAGGAGACCCCACACCATTTCTGACAAATGGCAGTCCAGTCTTTTCTTGAAAGCTTCCAATGATGAAGCTCCTACAACTTCCGAAGGCAACTTCTCTTCCATGGGTTGATGGTTCTCACTGTCAGGAAATTCCTCCTTATTTCTAGGTTGAATCTTTCCTTGACCGGTTTCTATCCATTATTCCTTGTCTGGCCTTCGGGTGCCTTGGAAAATAGCTTGATCCCCTTCCTCCTCTCTTGTGTCAACCCCTCAAATATCGGAAGATGCTCTCCTGTCTCCCCTGGTCCTTCTCTTCACTAGACCAGCCATGCCCAGTTCCTGCAACCGTTCATCGTAGGTTTGAGCCTCCAGTCCCCAAATCATCCTGGTTGCTCTTCTCTGCACTCTTTCTAGAGTCCCCACATCTTTTTTTATAGTGTGGTGAGCAAAACTGGATGCAGTACTCTAGGTGTATGAATGCACTTGCTAGTTCTTTCTCCAACTAGGTTAAACCCATTGTGTGGACGATTCCGTTATGTGGCACAGGGTCTTAAGCATGGAAAGTAAAGAATGCAATTGGCTGGCCGTCTTCGAGAACTGCAGAGTAAGAGAAACGAACAAATGAACAAGTTTTTGTGATCTCAAAAGAATAGTTAAATGGAAAGTGGCTGGGCAAGCAGGGAGATTTTGCCCTTGCCTTGATCCTCTGAAGAGATGCAGTTCAGACATAAGACTTTTACCCGCAAACCAAGCTCAGAGCCAGGCCACAATGGTGTAGTTTCTCCTGCGGACTACTTTGAAACTGTGTGGTTCTGCGACCGTTCTGGATTTCCTGGCTAGGGAGGAGGAAATATTAATGGCACCAGTGGTGGGATTCAAAGTTTTTTACTACTGGTTCTTTGGGCGTGGCTTGGTGGGCATGGCAGGGGAAGGATACTGCAAAATCCTCCATTCCCTCCCCACTCCAGGGGTACTGACTCCATTCCCTCCGGGAAGGATTTTGCAAATCCCCATTCCTCCACTCCAGTCCCATTCCCTCCCCACTCCAGGGGAAGGATACTGCAAAATCCCCATTCCAACTCTGGGGCCAGTTCTCCGAACTATTCAAAAATTCTGCTACTGGTTCTCCAGAACCTGCTGAATAGCACCCCTGCATGGCACCCATTAGTGTAATCTTTAAACTGGGCATAAGGCTGGTTGGTCAAGGTGGGCATTGATGAGTCCTTCAAAGGACCTTCACGCCCCAGTCTTGACCGGAAGCTCCTGATCTGGCTGTTTCTGGTCTGCCCAGATTCCAGTCTTGGATCTCTTCCTCCAAACACTTCTAGGAAGCAGATCCACAAGTTTGAGCCCACCAGAGATTGGACCTGATCCATCTCTTTTGCCCCTTCAGCAGACGACCAAAATAGGCAAAAAGGCTGGCATTTCCCCGTTGGACCACACCGGAATCTGGGCACTTATTGGCACAATCTCGTTGGTGGAGTTGTCACAAGGAACTCAATTAAACAATAGGTGGCATCGTGTCACTGGTGCAATGCCCAAATTAAGAAAGAAAAAGGAAAGAAAGATTAGGAGGAGGGAGAAAGAAAGGGAGGGAGGGAGGGACAGAAGGAAGGCCAAGAGAAAGGGAGGGAAGGAAAGAAGAGAGGGAGGGAAGGAAGGAAAGGGAGGGAGGCAAAAAAAAAGGGAGGGTGGGAGGAAGGAAATAAGAGAAAGGGAGGGAGGGAGGAAGGAAGGCAAAGAAAGGGAGGGAGGCAAGAGGAGAGGGAGGGAAGGAAAGAGAAGAGAAAGGGAGGGAGGGAGGAAAAGAGGAAGGAAGGAAAGAAGAGAAAGGGAGTGAGGGAGGTAAAGAGAAATAGGGAAAAGGGAGGGAAGGAAGGAAGGAAGGAAAGGAAAGGAGAAAGGGAGGGAAGGAAGAAAGGAAAGAAGAGAAAGGGAGGGAGGGAGGTAAAGAGAAATAGGGAAAAGGGAGGGAAGGAGGGAGAGAAGGAAAGGAAGGAGAAAGGAAGGAACGACTGAAGGAAAAAGATAGGGAAAGAAGGTCAAATGGAAAGAAAGAGAAGGGACGAACAGAGGTAGCGAAGGGAGGAAGGAAAAACCTGGGCGAAAGGAAGGAGACGGAGGGAAAGAAAGAAAGAAGGGAGGAAAGAATTAAAAGGGTAGAGAAACCAAAGGAAGGAGAGAAACTAAAGAAAGGGAAGCGCTCGATCTAATCCGCAAGTTTGGCTCGGTTTCATCCCGCTCCTGGCACGTGGGAATCGCGCCTCGGGCTCAGCGCAGGCGGGGCGGCTGTGCGGGCTCCCCGGAAGGTCGCGGAGCGGAGCGGCTCCTGCCCCGCCGAGCCAGAGGCCGCGCTGCCTCCCGGGCCGCCCGGCGGGGCCCCTTTAAGCGGCTGCGGCGTCCTTGCGCGCACAGCCGGGCGGGCGATCCGGGCGCAGCCGCCGCCGCAGCAGACAAAGGCCGGCGTGCAGCCGATCGGGCGCTGGCAGCCGCGGGGCCGAGAGTGCCTCTGAGCATAGGCCGAGTGCCCCCATGGCCCCCGGGGGCGTCCGGCTGCCGCAGCTGCTGCTTCTTCCTTCGGCGGGGCCATGAGCTGCTCCCCTCCGGAGCCCCCGGCCGGCCAGGCCTGCGCGCTGGAAGGGCTTCCCCCGCTGCCCAAAGGGCTGAGCGGCATCCTCAACTCCAGCGGCGGCTCGTGGCGCGAGATCCAGAAGGTCTACAGCAAGAAGTCGCGCATCCAAGACGACCTGCGCCAAGCCCAGGCGGTCCCCGGGGAGAAGCCGCCGCCCCCGAGACCCCCCCGGCCCGCCAACCTGGATGCCGCGCTGGCCGTGCTGCGCAAGGAGATGGTGAGCAATGCCCGGCGGATTTGGGTGGGGGGCTTCTGGTGGCTTTGCGCATCCCCCCTCCCCCCCAAAAAACCCCAGGCTCCTTGGGATGCCCATCGGCCCCACCCCCCACCTGAGCCCACCTTGCAGGGTAGGTTGTCCCAAAAGACCTGGCAGAAGCCCACCTCCCGCCCCACCGACTTAAGTCTATTTATTTTATTTACAGATTAATAGAGTTGGAAGGGACCATGGATGTCATCTAGTCCAACCCCGCCAAGCAGGAGACCCTACACCATTTATTTACAGATTAACAGAGTTGAAAGGGAACCTGGAGGTCATCTAGTCCAACCCCACCCCCTCGCCAAGCAGGAGACCCTATACCATTTATTTACAGATTAACAGAATTGGATGGGACCTTATAGGTCATCTAGTCCAACCCCCCAAAAGCAGGGACCTTAAACCATTTATTTACAGTTTAACAGAGTTGGAAGGGAGCCTGGAGGTCATCCAGTCCAACCCCACCAAGCAGGAGACCCTACCATTTCTGACCAATGGCAGTCCAATCTCTTCTGCAAAAGCCTCCAAGGATGTAACTCCCACATTGGATCCATTCATTACATTTCCACACCTCTCATCTCCCCCTTAAGTGACCCGAAGTTTGCAGCCACCCCGTTTTCTTCGCCGCGGGAGGTGGGGGACAAAAGCACCCCTTTTCCCGCGGCTCACCTGAGTGCAAAGCAGACACTTTAAAAAAAAAAAAAAAAGCTCCTTGCAAGCCACAGAACCGTGGAGAAGAGCCTGGGCTGAGATGCTTTGAATCCGGGGCGCCAGGAGTAGGTCTAAATTTAGCCACTCGCGTCATGCCAAGAGCTAAATTGGGTGCGGTGGGGCTGCTTATTGGAGGTTATTTGTCTTGTTCGTTTCTCACCTTCATTGTTTTTACAAATAACTCGAGGCAGCAAATATATCCTTCCTCCTTATTTTGACTACGACGACAACAACCTTGTGAGGTGGGTTGGACTGAGAGAGAGAATGAAAGAGAGAGGGAGGGGGGAAGAGAGGGAGCGGGGACTAGACCAAAGTCACCCAGTCAGTTTTTGTGCCTAAGGCCAGAACTAGAACTCCCCGTCTCCTAGTAATTGGTCAAAGACTCCCTGTCAATTTTCATGTCTAAGGTGGAACTAGAACTCACAGTCTCCTGGCGATTGGCCGAAAGTCACAGGCTTTCATGCCTAAGGCGGAACTAGAACTCACAGTCTCCTGGTGATTGGCCCAAAGTCATGGCTTTCATAAGGCAGAACTAGAACTCACAGTCTCCTGGTGATTTGCCCAAAGTCACCCAATTGCTTTCATGCCTAAGGCGGAACTAAACTCACAGTCTCTCGACTGGCCCAAAGTCACGCAGCCAGTTTTCATGTCTAGGCAGAACTAGAACTCACAGTCTCCTGGTGATTTGCCCAAAGTCACCCAATTGGCTTTCATGCCTAAGGCGGAACTAGAACTCACAGTCTCTTGGCGATTGGCCCAAAGTCACGCAGCCAGTTTTCATGTCTAAGGCAGAACTAGAACTCACAGTCTCCTGGTGATTTGCCCAAAGTCACCCAATTGGCTTTCATGCCTAAGGCGGAACTAGAACTCACAGTCTCTTGGCGACTGGCCCAAAGTCACGCAGCCGGTTTCATGTCTAAGGCAGAACTAGAACTCACAGTCTCCTGGTGATTTGCCCAAAGTCACCCAATTGGCTTTCATGCCTAAGGCGGAACTAGAACTCACAGTCTCTTGGCGATTGGCCCAAGTCACGCAGCCAGTTTCATGTCTAAGGCAGAACTAGAACTCACAGTCTCCTGGTGATTTGCCCAAAGTCACCCATTGGCTTTCATGTCTAAAGCGAACTCTCACAGTCTCCTGTGATTGGCCCAAAGTCACCCAGCCAACTTTCATGCCTAAGGCAGGACTAGAACTCACAGTCTCCAGGTGTGGCCCAAAGTCACCCAGCCAACTTTCATGCCTAAGGCAGGACTAGATTTCCCCATCTCCTGGTTTCTAGCCTGATGCCTCAACCATGAGACCACTTAGGATGGGCATGCTCTCTCTGGGTAACAGCACGACTCTGCAAGGTAGGCGAGAAAGTGGGGGGGGGAGAGCTGAGCAGGGACTTCATCCTCCCTGGGTCCCATCATTGGTGATTTCAGGGAAGGATGGCGGACCTGATGGCCCCCCACCCCCTCATCCTGTCAATGCAGAAACACTTTTTCAATCAGCCAAGTAATAGCCATTATCAATCATTTGGGGAAGGGGCACGCTTGGCAGGCCATTGAGTGCCTATAACCGTGATGGCGAACCTATGGCACGCGTGCCACAATTGGCATGGAGAGCCCTCTCTGTGGGCACAGGCACCATCGCCAGCTGCTGTTCTGGTCTTCGCGGATGCCGGAACACTGGAAAACGACCTGAAGGCCTCAAAAATGGCCAAAAAACAAGCTGGTTTTTTTGGCCGTTTTCCAGGCCATTTTCAGGCTGTTTTTTGGGCTGTTTTCAGGCCATTTTCTCAGCCGCTTTCAGGCTGTTTTTCAGTCTCTTCTTAAAAACCTGCCATGATGGAGCAGCCACAACTTCTGCAGGGAATTGTTTGCACTGGTTAATTATCCTCACTGCCACGCAACACTGTTTTAAATAAATGACACCGTCACTGTCTTATATTCAAAAGGCAGGATGCACATTTAATAAAAAGCCTTTAGAAGCATCCAGAAACGGAAAAGCAGGAAAGATAAAATTAACTCTGCAATTTCTTTCCTTTGCAAGAATTGGGAGCTCTCTGTCTGGAATTGGATCCGGGCAGAAATGAAATAATGGGATATTGGCAACTTTGAATTATTATTTTTTTTTTAAAAAAATAATAATTGGTAATTGGGATTTCAGTTCCATCCGAAGCAATGAAATTGGATAGTGGAGAAAAATGGATCTTTTTTTGAACATTTGTGTGTTCAAAACTTGTACATTACAGGGTTTTTTCCACCAGAGGGTAGCAAAATCCCATAGAACTACCGTCATTTAAAAGTTTTGTGGGTTTCAGAACAGGGGCCATTTGGCTGATTTTATTCTAAAGCAAGAGTGTCTAACTTTGGCAACTTTGAGACTTGTGGACTTCAACTCCCAGAATTCCCCAGCCAGCCATTCTGTCCCATTTGCTGCTGACAAAATCACATGCAGCTTTATACCACTTGGTTGTTTAGCTTTTGTTTATTTATTTATTTATATTTATAAATTATTTATTTATTTATTTATAAATATATTATTTATTCCACCCATCTTAAAGCCTGCTGGCTGGGGAATTCTGGGAATTGAAGTCCATCCTCTCAAAGCATGCTGACTGGGAAATTCGGGGATTTGAAGTTCACCCATGCAAAGCATGTTGGCTGAGGGATTCTGGGAGTTTTAGTCCACTCATCTCAAAGCATGCTGGCTGGGGAATTCTGGGAATTTTAGTCCACCCACCTTAAAGCATGCTGGCTGAGGGATTCTGGGAGTTTTAGTCCACTCATCTCAAAGCATGTTGGCTGGGGAATTCTGGGAGTTTTAGTCCACTCATCTCAAAGCATGCTGGCTGGGGGATTCTGGGAGTTTTAGTCCACCCATCTCAAAGCATGTTGGCTGAGGAATTCTGGGAGTTTTTAATCCACCCATCTTAAAGCATGCTGGCTGAGGGATTCTGGGAGTTTTAGTCCACCCATTTTAAAGCATGTTGGCTGAGGGATTCTGGGAGTTTAGTCCACTCATCTCAAAGCATGTTGGCTGAGGAATTCTGGGAGTTTTAATCCACCCATCTTAAAGCATGCTGGCTGGGAATTCTGGAGTTTTAGTCCACCCATCTCAAAGCATGTTGGCTGAGGAATTCTGGGAGTTGAAGTCCACCCATCTTAAAGCATGCTGGCTGAGGAATTCTGGGAGTTTTAATCCACCCATTTTAAAGCATGCTGGCTGAGGATTCTGGGAGTTTTAGTCCACCCATTTTAAAGCACGTTGGCTGAGGGATTCTGGGAGTTTAGTCCACTCATCTCAAAGCATGTTGGCTGAGGAATTCTGGGAGTTTTAATCCACCCATCTTAAAGCATGCTGGCTGGGAATTCTGGGAGTTTTAGTCCACCCATCTCAAAGCATGTTGCTGAGGAATTCTGGGAGTTGAAGTCCACCCATCTCAAAGCATGCTGGCTGAGGAATTCTGGGAGTTTTAGTCCACCCATCTCAAAGCATGTTGGCTGAGGAATTCTGGGAGTTTTAGTCCACCCATCTCAAAGCATGCTGGCTGAGGAATTCTGGGAGTTTTAATCCACCCAACTTAAAGCATGCTGGCTGAGGAATTCGGGAGTTTGTCCACCCATCTCAAAGCATGCTGGCTGAATTCTGGGAGTTGAAGTCCACCCGTCTTTAAGTTATCAACATTGCAAAACATCTGAAGCTGCTTGATTATTGATTTGAGAAAGCGCTTTCCACCTAACCAGGGCCCTCCCGGTTCAATCCCGGCAGCTCCCAAAGCTCAACGTCTGCTTTCCTTCCCTGCTGCAGGTGGGGCTCCGACAACTGGACATGTCTCTTCTTTGCCAGCTCTGGTCACTGTACGAGTCTATCCAGGACTTCAAAAGCCTCTTCCAAGACATGTCATCCTCGCTCCACTCGGAAGGCAGCCTGGCTGCCGAAAACGGCTTCTCGGACGAGGAAGAAGATTTCGACCTGGACCCGTTAAGTCCGGATGGGCCGCGGGAACCCCCTCCGGGCCAGCAGCTGCGCTTCCTCCAACCTCAAAACTCCCGGGATCAGTGGCTTAAGGACTCTTTCCATATTGCAATCTGAGCCAGACACCAGGAAAGGCCAGTTGGAATTTTAAAAAGCATCATGGTTTTGTTTCTGGAACAGTCCAGCCCCTTTTCAGCTTTCCACCTAGTTCCTGGGCTTTTCCCGATCACGTTTCCCTCAAGAAATCGACAGGATTTCGTTGGCCTTTCCAGAAAAGAGAGATGGTTGCAGGGGCAAACTGCAGGCAGGTGCTTCCGAGCAGGGAGTCCCCAATTTTGCAACACAAAATTGGGATCCAATCTTGAGATTTTTTTTCTTCTTCCTTTTGCGAAACGTCTTCGGAAAAAGCATTGGGAAAGACCGCAGGGGAGGGTCGAAATTAACCCTCCCCTGCGGTCTGAATTTCCTGAAAAAAAAATCTTCCTCTCCGTCTTCCAGCTTCTCTTCCCCTTTTCCCCCCCCCACCCCAAGGATGTGGGGCATTTTTCTTCCAATGTGGGACCCCCACCAATTTCAATAATTTTTGGCCCGTGTGGAGGACAAGAAGACCGTCTGGAACTGGGGCCCGATTTGGGGAAATTGACCTGGAAATTGAAAGGAAAATGTTACTTTATTTATTCGGTCAATGACCAGCAAAGTTTATCCTTGCGTGGAGATGCGGGTTGCCTGTGAAGCTCTTTCGATATTAGAGGATAAGAAAGGCTTGGCTGCATCTCTGCAAGATTCAGGCCCTTCCCTTGCCTCTTTCTTCTTCTTTCCCTACTGCCAGGTTTCCTGTGGCTGAATGAAATTTGGGGTGCTGAGCCTCTTTTGCTCCCCCTGCGGTACTAACAGCATCCCTAAAGGGAGTTAAGAACTGCCAATTCAGCGGCCGAGACTTTTCCTTGTCCAAATGCCCGGGTTTAAATGACCTTCCGATCTACCTAATCGGAATCATGAGGACTAGGAACTTATTTTTCTTTTTGGAAACCGGGATGGCCAGTCCAGCTTGCATTCTGAGGATCCGAAGCTTTGGGCAAGCAAAGACCCTAAACATAAAACTCTTAGAGACTTCTATTGCAAATGTATTATTTTATTTTATTTTATTTTATTTTACTTTTTGCAATGGAAACTTGCAAGAAAGATTGGGATGACCGGGTTAAAAATGTAGGGAGGTGGGTGGGTGGGTTGAGGGGAGGGAAGTCTTTTTAATGCACCTTCCTTTTTGCTTCTGGCATGTTGCTGCTGAAAACCTTTAGCATAAAAATAGAAGATTTGATTTAGCTTTGATTTAGCATGTCAGAGGAGCCATTGATTTAAGCTCTGATTTAAGGCTTAGGATAAGAGATGAGGTGCGGGTTTATTTGGCAAAGGCGGGGAGGGGCTTTGCACAAATGTATGAACCCCCCCCGGGGTGGGCTTCAAAAATTTTTAGCAAGGGGTTCTCTGCCCGATTGCTAGGCATGATGGGCGTGGCTTAGTCGGCCTCCTGCACCATGGCAGGGGGCGGGGATTTTTGTCCTCCCCAGGCTCCGGAGGCTTTTCTTGATCCTCCAGGAGGGGGAAAACGGCCTCCCCAGGCTCCAGAAGCCCTCTGGAGGCCGGAAACGGGCCTTCCCGAACTTCCAGTAGGCCTCTTTTTCGCCCTCCCGGAGCCTTACCTGCATCCCAAAACGGGCTGCCTGGGGACTCCTGGGAGGGGCGGGGTGGGATGGGGTGGGCGGGGCCAGCCAGGAGTGGGATTTGGGGGTTCTCCGAACTGCACAGAATCTTAGCTATAGAGGTTCCCACGAACCTGCAGCAGCCCACTCCTGAACCCGCCCCTGGTAAGCAGCCAAATAGGTTTTTGGATGGTACATGTTAAGTTTCCTTGGGGGGGGGGGGGGGGGCTGATGCACCCCACTTTCTCCTCCTCAATTGCAGACTGAGAAGAAATAGTTAGCGAGGAATGTGCTAGGTAGAACATTTGTTTGGGGGTTTAAAAAAAAAAGAATAAATCTGGTCATATTGCCTTGGCTGGATTTTATGACTGTCCCACTCTAGCCAGGTTACCTTGGCTCAATATTTAATTGCATAGTGTTTTCTAATAGGATGATGATGATGGTGGTGGTGGGTTTTTCGAGGCTTGAAATAAACCTGAGAGCATTTGGGAAGCATCCCCACCCCCCACCCCCGTCCACGGCAAGCAAAAGGGGGAGGCGCGAGAAATAAAGTGTTAAAAGCCTCTTGAACAAAAGGAGTGTTGAGTCCATTCCGAGCTGCGAGTTCAGATCTTGCAAGTATCTCAACCGAAAGTAAGGATTGCTTCAAAGCTGTTGGATCTCGTTTGAAAAAAATCAGGCCGAATTTCTGGAGGGTAAAAAAAAAAAATTGTACAGCAGTGGAACGAATCTGTCTCCAGGGGGTTGCGGCTTCTTCAGGATAAAACAGATTCAGATGAACCGGGTTGGTTGGAAGGGACCTTGTAGGTCATCTAGTCCAACCCCCCGCCCAAGCAGGAGACCCGACACCATTTCTGACCGATGGCAGTCCAGTCTCTTCTTGAAAGCTTCCAGGAATGAAGCTCCCACAACTTCTGAAGGCAGCTTCTGTTCCATCCATTGATTGTTCCCACTGTCAGAAGATTCCTCTTTATTTCTAGGTTGAATCTCTCCTTGGTCAGTTTCCATCCATTCTTCCTTGTCTGGCCTTCGGGTGCTTTGGAAAATAGCTTGGCCCCCTTCCTCCTCTCTGGGGCAGCCCCTCAAATATTGGAAGATGCTCTCCTGTCTCCCCCGGTCCTTCTCTTCACTAGACTAGACATACCCCAACTCCTGCAACCGTTCTTCCTATGTTTGAGCCTCCAGTCCCCTCATCATCCTGGTTGCTCTTCTCTGCACTCTTTCTAGAGTCTCCACATCTTTTTTTATAGTGTGGTGACCAAAACTGGATGCAGGACTCTAGGTGTGGCCTTACTAAGGCTTTACAGAGTGGTATTCCTGCTAGTTTAGTATCATCTGCAATTTTTTTCAGTTCCCCTTCTAAACAACTGGACTGCCAAGATTCAAGGGTGGGTGAATTGGTTTCCTCGAGAGCTGATTTCCCGTGTTATTTTCATCCTGCTTTTCAGGCGTGGAAAAGGCCAGCTGTGACCCGGAAAGCTACTCTGTGCATGCTCAGAGGTGCTGTTTTACATTCTCCCATTTCCGTTTTAACCCCAGCCGACTTCAGACTTCAAGGAGCCCCAGTTTGGGTGAGCTTCCACCTCCTTGCCCTGGGTTCATGTTTTTTCCCACCTCTGGAGCACACAAACCACGTCTTTTACACACACACACACACGCCTGGGCCATTGTTTGTGGCTTCCTGTTGTGTTTGCAATCCACTGGCGTTGTGCAGAGCAGCCACAATGGGATTTGGGTTGGGCGAGATCTGGGTTTCTCAAAGCTGGAAACTCAGAAGAGGGGTGAACTTCCAACTCCCAGAATTCCCCACCGCCAAACCACGCCCACCCAGTCACGTGAGCACCAAGCCACGCCTACAAATTTTTGAATTTCACCACTGAGATGCCAAAGTTGCCCACCCCTGCCATAACATGACCAAGTACCTTTGCCCCACACTCCTCTGGGCCCATCCTTCTCACCCTGGTGCTCTGCAACTTGTGGTGGGTGGAGGATGATGGAAGTTGTAGTCCAAAACCTTCAGAGGGGAAAGGTTGGGGAAAGGTAGCCTTGGAGCGGTTCACTCAGTTTGTTTTTCATAGAAGGATGTCGAAGATTGTTCTGTTTGCGGGAAGCTGTTGGATTTCTCTCTCAACCCGCCAAACCGGGACGAAAAATTTCTCCGTCATCTTCAGAGAAAAAGCAAAATTTCTCGGGAGCAGCTTCGAGCCACCACACCCATCCGAGAGGCTTTTGCAATCGGTTTTGGCTTCCTGGTTTTCTTTTTTCTTTTCTTTTTTTTTTCACGGGGAAGCCAGGAAAATGATTCATCGTTCTCAGCCTGTCCTAATTTTTAAAAACAAAGAGATGGATCTTGAGCGGTGCTGAGCTACAGTAGTGGCCAAAATTGTCGAAAACTTTTTGGGAAAAGTGTATTTTCTAAAACTTAGCTAATAACACCAGTTTTTTTGGGCAGTAGTCCCATAAAATTATATATCAATGGAAAGATAATTTAATCAAGAATGTAATGCAATCACTTTTATGAAGGATTTGCTATTAGAATAGCAGTTACAGTATAAAGAAGAAAAGTGAAACACGTAGAAAAAACGAGACATGCAAAAATTATCACCACGGAAAAAACGAGATATACAAAAATGATCCCCATGTCAGTTAATACTTCGTTGGGTAACCTTTAGCATGAATGACGGCCTTACAACGTCTTCCCATGGAGGGAACCAAGTCTTTGAGTTCTGCAGCTGTTCTAATGTGAAACCAAGATTGAAGGATGGCTTCTGTTAACTGGGTTTTATTGCTGGGTCGCTTCTGACTAAGAAGTTTCTTTCGTCGGCTCCATAGATTTTCATTTAGGTTAAGGCTATTGGGCTATTCCCAGGTCATTCCAGCAGTGGAATAGGATTATCTTGAAACTCCAAAAAAAAAAAAAAAAGTGGTGTTATTAGCCATCAAACCTCAAAAATACACTTTTCCCAAAAGGTTTCCACAATTTTGGCCACTACAGGAGAGGGAAAGAAACAGTAACAGGGTTGGAAGGGACCTCGGAGGTCATGTAGTCCTCCACGCAGGAGACCTGGAGTAGGGATTCGAACCGCCGAACTGCCGACCTTTCTGATCGATAAGCTCAGGGTCTTAGCCACTGAGCCTCTCCTTCCCTTCAGACATCACCTGTTGGCCACGTGGCTTCCAGGATGGAGAGGTTTATAATAAATACTGTAAACTCTCCGTAGTCAGGCTGCAAACTGTTTTTAAAACCCTCGGAAGGCATGATGAGTAAAAGTGCCTAGGCGATTAAAAAACAGATTGGATTGGCGTCAGAAAAATAATGTCAGATAGCCACTTGATATCCTTTCTAAAACCACTCCAGACATAACTCATCGTAAGTGATAAGCATCTTCTTCTGAAGTACAACAGTCCTCGACTTACAACAGTTCGTTTAGTGACCGTTCGAAGTTATAACAGCACTGGAAAAAGTGACTTATGACCGTTTTTTCACAGTTATGACCTTGACAGCATCCCTGTGGTCGTGATTCCCCCAGAGTGGTATAAGGCAGGGGTGAAATCCAGCAGGTTCTGGAGAACCGGTAGCGGAAATTTTGAGTAGTTCTGAGAACCGGCAAATACCGCCTCTGGCTGGCCCCAGAGTGGGGTGGGAATGGAGATTTTTGCAATATCCTTCCCCCTGGAGTGGAGAGGGAATGGGGATTTTGTAGTATCCTTCCCCCAGGAGTGGGGAGGGAATGGGGATTTTGCAATATCCTTCCCCCCTGGAGTGGGGAGGGAATGGGGATTTTGCAATATCCTTCCCCCTGGAATGAGGAGGGAATGGGGATTTTGTAGTATCCTTCCGCTGCCAAGCCCACCAAGCCATGCTATTCTATTCTATTCTATTCTATTCTATTCTATTCTATTCTATTCTATTCTATTCTATTCTATTCTATTCTATTCTATTCTACCCTACTCTATTTTCTATTCTACTCTACTCTACTCTACTCTATTTTCTATGTCACCCTAAACCTTTTATCCAGAGTAACCATACCCAGTTCTTGCATCCTTTGAAGTCTCTTCCAACTCTGGTCCTCTTGTTGTTATAAATTTCATATATCATCTATTTGGGTTTGAAAACACACACACACACACACACAGACACACACACACACACACACACACACAGAGACACCCACCCAACCCAACCCTTGGGGGGGGTGTGTGCCTGGAGAAAGTATCTGTCCCTCGGTTGCTAAATCTGGGGGCATGAGAGCACGTCCATCCGTCCGGGAGCAAAGCTGGAATCCAGGATCGGTTTACAGGGTTCTTTATTTATCCTTCCCGAGCCAGAAACGAAGAGCTCCGAAAAGGCAGAAACGGAGGAAGGAGGGAGAAAGAAAGAGGCGAGGCCGCCTCGAAAGGAGTTTTATAGTTTTGATTTCTTTGTATTTCTTTTAATCCTCTTGTGCAAGTATACACACCGGATTATTATTATTATTATTATTATTATTCTCCCAAAAGGCTGCCAAAGGAAATTAAAGCCAGGAAGCTCTAGATGACCTCATTCTTTCCTTCAGACAGTCAGCATGCGAGGAAAAGGGCTGGGGAGGGAGGAGGAAAAAACAAGGCAGGCAGGCACTCTTAGGCCCTGTTTACACAACCACCCTTGACCTGGTTACCGAATTACATTCAATATTCAACACCTGGAGTTTTGAAAGCAAATCAGCTGGGTTAAGGCATCTGCTTGCCTTTGAACTAGTGGGAAGGTTTGAAGTTTAAGTATTTCAGTCCTGGTGATTTTTCGGGACAACATGAATGTTTCTGGGAGGATTTTTTTTTTTTTTTTTGGATTTCCCTGCAAACCTGTGATTTCCTTTTTTTTTTTTTTTTAAATTGTTATTAAACAGTTTGTCTTTAAAAACAACACGAAAAAACAATCACACATATATAAAAACAAAACATGTCAAGACATAACGTATTGAACATTATATCACAATGGTAATTTTACAGCATTTGGTATCGACTTACGTATTTTGCTTTTGTAGTTCTCTATTCTATCATTCCTATTTACTATTCAATAGTAGGATAATCACATTACTCCAACATATATATATATTTGGCCGAAATAGATCTATCTTAGTCTCCCAATGGGCAGCAAAGGGTCTGCTGGCTGCCAGAAAGAGAAAAAGAGCCCAGAAACTAGTGAAGTGTGATTTCACTGAACTAGGGCTGCATAATATCTTGGTTTACGTAGGTAGAACCTGGCTAAAGAGAAAGACATATATATATATACATACACACATTATAATATTCATTGTTCTTATCTACACATTTATATTCGAACCTGTGATTTCCTAGTGGCCTCCTATCCAGCTCTGATCAGGGACTCTTGTGGGTTGGATTAGATGACCTTCAAGGTTCCTTCCAATTCTGTTCTGTTCTGTTCTATTCTGTTCTATTCTATGCTATGTTATAATATGCTATGCTATGCTCTATTCTATGCTATGTGATTTTATTCTATATTTTCTATATTCTATGCTAAATTATTCTATTCTATATTACGGTATTTTCTATATTTTATTTCTAATTCTATTCTTCATTCTATCCTATTCTGAATCCCACTCTATTCTATCTCCTATGCTACGTTATTTCTGTTTTATATTATTTTCTATCCTTTATTCTATTCTCTATTATTTTAGTCTATATTTTCTACATTCTATGCTAAATTATTCTATTCTATACTGCGGCATTTTCTATATTTTATTTCTAATTCTCTTCTTTATTCTCTTCTATTCTGAATCCCACTCTGTCCTACCCGTTATTTCTGTTTTATATTATTTTCTATCCTTGATTCTACTCTCTATTCTCTATTCTCTTATTATTTGAAGTCTATATTTTCTATATCCTATGCTAAGTTATTCTATTCCATACTACGGTTATGTTCTACATTCTATTTTATTTTCAATTCTTTTTTTTATTTTTTTTATTTTTTTTTATTTTTTATTTTTTTTATTTTCAATTTATATACCGCCCTTCTCCCTGAGGACTCAGGGCGGCGCACAGCCAGAATTAAAAACATGAAATACAAATATTAAAAACAATTAAAATCTATATAAATTTGGCCCAAAATTTAAAAAACCACAAACCAATTAAACATTTAAAAATTTTAAAATTCTATTTTCCATTCCGAATAGGTGTGTAGCAAGCAAGCCTGCAGTATCTTTCCCTCCCCACCCAAAAAAAAAGAAAGTTTAAAAAGTTTATTCTTCTGTTATTCTTGCGGGGGGGGGGCGTTGCCCAGCCACGCCCCCCTCTCGGCCACTCCCCCCTTTTTTCCCTCGGCCACGCCCCCTCCCTCCCGGGCTCCAGGCTCGCCTCCTTCCTCCTCCTTGCAAGTTGGTCGCCTCCTCGCCCGGACTTCCTCGCTTGGGCAGCAGCCGGGTCGGGCATGGGCCATGAGCTCCGTCTGGAAGCGGCTGCAGCGCGTCGGCAAACGGGCCGCCAAGTTCCGCTTCGTCGCCTGCTACCAGGAGCTGGTGGTGGAGTGCACCAAGAAATGGTGAATCGGGCCCCCGCCTGGGAGTGGGCGGAGGGGGTGGTGGTGGTGAGTGGGTGGACGGATGGATGATCTTCAGGGTCCCCCCCCTTTGGAGCCCTTTTGGGAAAGGCACCGCCTTGGGCTGGCGCACAACCGCCTTGCAAGGTAGGACAGGCGAGGCTGGCAGAGTGAAGCCCCCCCTCCCTCCCTCCTAGGGGAGGGGCCCCCTCTGTTGGGGGCTTAGCAGGGAAAAGGGACTCCTAGCCACCCACCCACCCAATGCCCCTGTCTTGTAATCTGGGGAGGGATTTTTGGGGGGCACCGATCCCCGTTTTCTGGATTTCTACCTTCGCAACCCCTAGAAGGAATGAATCCTCCCCAAAAGTCTGATTTTTATTTTTATTTTACCTTACTTTACTTTATTTTATTTTATTTTATTTTACTTTATTCTTTTATTATTTTATTTTATTTTATTATTTCATTCCTTTCCTTTCCTTTCATATCTCATTTCATTTTTTAAATTAAATTTAATTATTTTATTATTTCTTTCCTTTCCTTTCCTTTCATATCTCATTTCCGTTTCATTTCATTTTATTATAATTTATTTTTTATTTTACTTTATTTATTATTTCATTTCATTCCTTTCCTTCATTTCTCATTTCATTTCATTTCATTTCATTTTACTTTACTTTACTTTATTATTTCATTCCTTTCCTTTCCTTTCATATCTCATTTCATTTCATTTTTTTAATTTAATTTAATTTAATTATTTTATTATTTCTTTCCTTTCATATCTCATTTCATTTTACTTTACTTTACTTTACTTTTTTATTATTTTATTTTGTTTTATTATTCATTTCATTCCTTTCCTTTCATATCTCATTTCATTTCATTTCATTTTTTAAATTTCATTTAATTATTTTATTACTTTATTTTATTTTAGCTATTTAGTTATTTATTTAGTTGTTTAGTTATTTGGTTATTTAGTTATTTAGCTTTTTAGTTATTTAGTTAGTTATTTAGTTATTTAGCTTTTTATTTATTTAGTTAGTTATTTAGTTATTTAGTTATTTAGTTATTGGAATTTGTCCCTCCCCGTCTCCCCCCAGGACAAGAATAAGAATAAAAATACAATGACAGGAGCGATAGGCACCTTAGTGCACTTATGCACGCTCCCCTCTACTGACCACTTAAGTATGAAGTAATTTTGCAACCCTCTCTCCTGACCGACACACACAAATGGGGTGTGTGTGTGTGTGTGTGTGGGAAGCAACATTTAAACCGAGTCAAAGCCAGGCTTGCCTGTGTGAATGCCAGCCTCTTAATCTATCATTGAAGAGGACCTGCAAAGAACGCTCTTCCTCTTCCCCGTTAGGCCTTCAGCCGGATTTCATGAGGACTAGAATCGTGCTTTCAAGTTTTAGGGAAGAAATCTCCGCCGTACAGTTTTGCAACGTTAAAAAAATAAATAAAAATAAACTCCCAAACTGCAGGGTTTTTTTTTTTGGCCTTTCCAGGTAGGGCAGGGCTAAACGGGGCAGCTTCGTGTGACACAACTTCCTCTCTCAAGAGCTTTGAACCAGAATCTTTAGAAGGTGGGGAAAAAAAAAAATTAAATAAGATACAGAGAATTAATGGGTGGAGTTTGCACACCAGGAAGTGGTGAATGGAGGTTAGATAGAAAAGATATTAATTTATGGATTGTATGTATTCAAAACACCGTCCCCGCTTCGTTATGTAAATAACTCAAAAGGCCTCGCGTCAGGATTAAAAAGGAAGCCAGGAAGAATCTGGAAAACAGCTGTAAGGGACAAGCTTAGCCAAATACTTCTCTTTTTCAAAGCCAAAAAATATTTCCCCCAGATTAAAAATAACCACAGGAAAGAGCTGGAACGGCCAAATGCTTGTCAGAAAAAAATAATAATAATAATTTTGAAACTCTTCTGGAGGTGGGGGGAAATCCGAGTTTATTTCAGTAGAACTTTTTAAATTCAATTATAATCGCACAGCTATTGCAATGGTCTTTTATTCGCGCTGCAACTATGGGATGGCAGCTTTGACTTCATATTGACTTCATATTTGAATATTGGTGAAAGCTTGCGTTCCTGTCCCAGATGTACCAAGTCGCTAGTCCATAAGAAAACGTTCAAGGATTACATTTTGACTTGACGAGTTACTGTCTCCCTTGGCCTTAAATTGAGACGACAAAGTCCCAGAATTCCTCCTGGGTGGAAATTAGGGGGATTCTGGACTGGAGTTAAAGTGTTTTGAAAGTTTTAAAATTGTGGGCAGGAATTGAATGAAATCCAGCCTGTGTGAGTGTGGAAAAGGTTAATTGTGTTCACCCATCCTGGTATTTTTGATGTAGTGTGGTATTGTGCAACTGGGGACGCTTTGGGGCTGTCTTCAAGGGCAGCTCCATAAACAGGGCCATGTAGTAGTCAATCCTGGAAATTATAGAGTGATGGGACAGCATAGCACAGAGAGGTCTGGTTAAATCTGGCATGACTTTATCTCTGAAAAACCTGGTAAAGTCCAAATGTTTCTCAAACTTAAGAGATGTGGATTTCAATTCCCAGAATTCTCCATCCACCACTGTTCCATTTTTAGAAAATGTATTTTATATAGGTGCTAATTAAATGGATTGGAATTACGGTATTTTTATCAGGTTGTTATCCCACTTTTAAAAGATATATATATTTGGTTAACTCAAGGCAGCAAACATACATTTCTATTTTCCTCGCAACAACCACCCTGTGAGGTGGGCCAAGCTGTCACCCAGTCAGCTTTCATGCCTAAGGCAGAACTAGAACTCACAGCCTCCCGGTGCGTAGCCCAGCACCTTCATTACAATCCAAAATGGGCTGGAGAAATTGTATAGTGAAAAATATTGAGGTTATCCAAACCAACCTGTTGTATGAATATTATGTCTTGGTCTTTCACTAACCTGGTTAAGGGTCTTGCAAGAATATAGCCAGGATGGTCTTTTAATTAGGTGGTCTGTTGACTTTTGGGTTGCTAAATTGTCTAGGCTAGAACTGATTGTTCATTCATGGTTATTTGTAGAATTGTAGATCAAAAAACGTGACAGAATTGACTTCCTTCCATAGCTACTTTGCAAGATCCGTCTCTTGTCATTAGAATAAAATATGCCGGATTGGAGATAGATACATAGATAGACATGATTGAGTGATAGGTAGGTAGGTAGGACAGCACAGGACAGGACAGGACGATGGAGATGAGATGATAGATAGATAGATAGATAGATAGATAGATAGATAGATAGATAAGATAGATAGATAGATGAAAGAAAGATTATAGAAAGAAAAAAGAAAGAAAAAGATAGATAGATAGATAGATAGATAGATAGATAGATAGATAGATAGAAAGAAAGATTATAGAAAAAAGAAGAAAGAAAGATAGATAAATAATACGGTAGAAAGAAAGATTATATTATAGAAAGAAAAAGAAAGATATATATATATATAGATGATAGATAGATAGATTGAAATAAGAGATTATAGATAAATGAGATAGATTAGAGAAGAAGGAAGGAAGGAAGGACAGGCAGAGAAGATGGAGATGATAGAGAGAGAGAAAGAGAGAGAGAGATGATAGATAAATGAGATAGATAGATTGATTATACAAAAAGAAAGAAATTAGGAAGAAAGGAAAGGAAGGAAAGGACAGGACAGGACACAGATGATGGAGATGATAGATAAATGAGATAGATTGATGATAGAAAAAGAAAGAAATTAGGAAGGAAGGAAAGGACAGGACAGGACAGGCAGAGATGATGGAGATGATAGATAGATAGATAGATAGATAGATAGATAGATAGATAGATAATAGAAAGAAAGATTATAGAAAGAAAAAAGAAAGAAAAAGATAGATAGATAGATATAGATAATAGAAAGAAAGATTATAGAAAGAAAAAAGAAAGAAAGAAAAAGATAGATATAGATGAAAGAAAGATATAGATAGAAGATAGATAGATAGATAGATAGATAGAAAGAAATAAGGGAGATTATAGATAAATGAGATAGATTATAGAAAAAGAAGGAAGGAAGGAAGGACAGACAGAGACGATGGAGATGATAGAGAGAGAGAGATTATAGATAAATGAGATAGATTGATTATAGAAAAAGAAAGAAATTAGGAAGGAAGGAAGGAAAGGACAGGACAGGACAGGCAGAGATGATGGAGATGTAGATAGATAGATAGATAGATAGATAGATAGATAGATAGATAATAGACAGACAGACAACGTTTAGCCTGTTAACATTAGTGGTCTCACATTCAGAAAGTCCACTCTGCACAGGAATTTACGTTTGGGGCCGTCTCTGAGAACCATCCTCTCTGAACTTCCCCCTTTATCATTTTGCCATGTCAGGCTTTTGAAATGGGGCAAAGGCCGCGCCTGCAAAAGAATTGTGGTGGAATTTTACTGTTCTGGGGAATCCTGGAGGTCATTTAGTCCAACCCCTGCTCGGTGGAGGAGTGGCCGTGCTGAACACAACCGGGCTGACCTTTACAGGAAGAGACCACGTGGGGTTACAATGGCGTCAGAGGCTTTGCTTATTTTACTTTCGTTTATTTGCTTGAAAACTTAGCAGGGTGTGTCTAATGTTAGGACAACAGTTGTTGAGTTTTCACCAGGCAAAAAAATGCACGCTAGGTTAAATTCACTTTTGCAAAGGGTGCAAGACTGCTGTTTCTCCACCTTGGAGACTTTAAGATGGGCGGACTTCAATTCCCAGAATTCCCCAGGCAGCAGGCTTTAAGATGGATGGACTTCAAGTCCCAGAATTCCCCAGGCAGCAGGCTTTAAGATGGGTGGACTTCAACTCCCAGAATTCCCCAGGGAGCAGGCTTTAAGATGGATGGACTTCACATCCCAGAATTCCCCAGGCAGCCAGGCTTTAGTCTCCAAAATGCCTGAGGGATAGGACAGGTTGGCGGAAACTTTGCAAAAGGGAGATTCAAACTGGAAATAAGAAATATTCTGAGTTTTTCAAACA